TGTGTGTGTGTGTGTGTGTGTGTGTGTGTGTGTGAGAGAGAGAGAGAGAGAGAGAGAGAGAGAGAGAGAGAGAGAGCATTAAAGTGTCCCAAAAGACAGATTTTTTAAAAGTTTTATCTTGCCATCCAAGTATGTATTTTTTTTTTTTAGGTTTGAAAAGTGATTGTCATTGAGTTTAAAATACCTGACATTCCCAGTGTTATTGAAAATGGATACCAAACTGCTGTAGTATGAGGACCTCCCACACAGGTCTTTGTGAAGATTCTAGCTTGTAGCAGAGTTCACAAATATATGCCTTCTGAGTTGCTTCATTTAATAGTATCAAGGATTTTTAAAACATTTTACTGATGCTGTTGTATTTGTTACACACACATCTAATTACTCTTTGGGACTCCTCAGAGACAGCAAGACCTGTGTATGGGTCTCGCTGAGGTAACTCATTACTTCATAATGATAGGCAACTTCCCTCACTTTGTCTGGTAAGTGGGGTAACAGGAATCTTCCCTTTCCTAAAAGTAAACAGGTGTGATCCTCACAGTGACACAACCTGGCTTTAAGTCCAGGCTTTCCCTCCATACATATACTTTGAAATGATAGCCTTTGGATAAGTGGTTCATATTCTAGAGTCTCAGTTCCTTCAGCAATCACCCATCTACTCAGATATTACAAAGACTGGAGAAAGTTTATATTAAATATGATACTTTTTAAGCTCTTAACTAAATAAGGGCTTTGGACACATGTGAGATGCATTTTATTTTTTAATTAATTAGTGTGTGTGTGTGTGTGTGTGTGTGTGTGTGTGTGTGTGTGTGTGTGTACTTGCCATAACGTGTATGTAAAGGTCAGAAAAAAACACTATAGAGTTGGTTCTCTCCTTCCTTCCATCTTTACCTGGATTCTGGGCATTGAACCCAGGTCGCCTGGCTGATACCGCAAGAATCTATACCCACTGAGCCGCTTGTAGGCTGTTGTCACATGACTTGACCGTCCCTTAGTGCATCTTGTTTCTTCCTGACAGACTAAGCCACATTTCTCTCGTACAGTAGTCTTTATGTATGAATATGTTTTCCTTTGTGTACTAGAGATTGGTGAAACTCTCCTAAAGCTGTAGGCAATCGGGATGTTTGCCAACAGCTAAGAAGGAGGTATTTCAAGTTTTCCTCCTCTGCTGCATTCCAGTCCATAGTCCCAGTCCAGTCTTGCATTGAGGACCCACCTCCGCAGGCCTCCCCATGCAAGGGAACTGACATTAGGACTTCGTTTTCAGAGAGATTAGCCTACATTCTTTATCACATGTGGCATCATTAAATATTGTAAGTACTTATGCAAAATTATTCAGTAATATTGTATCTCACAGTCGTAGTTTGTACACATCAGGGAATTAAGAATACATGTTAGGAATATAACATAGAAAACAATTATAGACAACCTTTTTAACATAGGCCACTGTACAAATTAAACAGATCCAAATTGTTGGCAAAGGTAAACCAAGGAAGGTATTTAAAAATGGAAATCACTTTTAAACTTGTCACACTGGTGACTCCTCGATCTTTTCAAAGTTGTTTAGCAAATACTTCAAGGGTCTTTTAAATAGACTATCTTTAAGTAGGTCACAACTGGAAACAATTAAGAAATCACTATGCTTCTACTTTATTTTTCTTAATAGTCATAAACCAAAGTCTGTTTCTCCCAAAAGAAAACAGTGAATTTCATTAACAGCCAAATGTATACATTCCTGAGAGGTTCTCTGACATTTCCCTTAATACTATGATTTTAATTATAAATATAACCGTTTTAACAGTCACTGAACACCTTCTAGGTACAGGCATTTTAACCTGAATGAAGAATATAAAAGATGAACTTAGTGGTGGTCAGGAAAACATGGCCTATGGACCAAATCTGCCTAGCATCTCTTTTGTAAAGTGTTATTGAAACATGAGTTCATCTATTGTTCACTCAGTATCAGTGGTCACTTTTGTCCTATATTGTCAGTGTTGAGTAGTTATGATAGAAATATTATGGCCTGCCAAGTCAAAAACATCTTGCTACTAGTACTTAAGTTGTTTCACTGGGCATGGTAGCTCATGACTTTAATTCCAGCACTCAGGAGGCAAAGGTTGGCAGATCTCTGTGAGTTTGAGGCCAGTCTGGTCTACAGAGTGAATTCTAGGACAGGCAGGGCTGTTACACAGAGATACCCCATCTCAGAAAAAAAAAATTGTTTCAGCCTCCACTTAACAGCAAATTTATGAAGAATTTTCATGTTGATGTTGAGAATCAACATAAAAAAATTAGGAATTAAAAAAGATTCCCGTATATTTTGCTCCTGTTTAGGCTTGGTGCAGATTGGTGGGCAGATCAAAGAGAGAATATGTTTTATACTTCTATAGGTAGTTTGCAAAAAAGACATTGATGCTGTGCTGATGGGACCAGGATGCTCCCCTTTGATACGACACAAACTGCAGGGTAAGCCCAACCAAAGGGCACTGCAGTGTAAAGTATTTAAAATATTTACTCCTTTTGAGATCTGGGCCTTTGAGTTGTCGATGTTGGAACCTTTCTGGCTTATCATATATCTGTCACCAGCACAACTTACTTGATACCGAGGGGCCATTGTGGTTATCATTTAGGGAAAACATAGGGTCTCCATGTTACCTGTGGGCTGTTCTTCAATCCAGACTTGCAGATACATGAAGAGCAGAAGCCCTGCTGCCCCAAACAGCAGGACAGAAAGGAAGACTTGTTTGGGGTTCATGACCACTTCAGATGGCTGTGTTTCTCTTCATGTCCGAATGCCAAGGCTACATGGCTTATTTCTCCATGGAGTTCCAATCTTTTCTTGATCTCTTGGGGCCCATTCCTCAAAGTAACCTAGAATTCCAAACAATTCACATTGTACATGTCTGGATTTGTATTCAAATATGGCCAAAAAAAGCATGCATATGAACAGCACTGAAGTCTCAAATACGTGGTAACTCACTGAAAGAGAAGCCCTGCAGTAAATACTCCCGGGAAGGAACTTGGTGTCCTATCTGTGGAATACTGTATACTCTTATCCTACCCATACTAAAGCACAGAATAACATTTAATCAAGTGAACAGTTAAGCTGTTTCATGTTGTAAAGAGTCAAGTGAAGGTTTGAGTTACTTCAACATGATCGTAAGGAGAAGAAGGGAAACAAGATGGATTACAAAAGAACGGAGAATGAGGTTTAGGACTGTCTTGTAGGATGTGGGAAAACCCTTCATATCTTTAGTACCAAGGACAGCAAGATGCTCAAACTACCTGGGGAAAAAGGATGTAGTATCCTCCTGAAACCATGCACCTCCTCTGGTGTTCTTTAATGAGTCTCTAGGCTATTTGCCCTTCCCCCAACATGTGTAAATGTTATGTGAAGGTCTGTAGCACTCGACCCTCAAGGAAATTATGCACGGGAAAGGGTTTCAGGTTCAGTTCTGATGCCGTTATTTGTTTTTGAATATTTTCCTATGTAGTTGGCTGGATCTGTAGATGAAGTATGCACATGTTCAGTACAGATACCTGTTTTGGCCAAATATTTTCAATCACACATTTGATGAATGCATAGATTAGGAGAACTGACTGTATATAAAATTCAAAACTGGAAAGTTTAATCTAGCATTTCCCATTTAGGTGAAATAACAGATTTATAAAATTTAAATGGGGAATTTAAAATCTCCATGGGGCATAAAAAATACAAAAGGCTTGGGTCTGAAAATCCCCTCCCATAAGAATGTAATTACTGAAATCTATTAGAAAGCATAAAAATCCACCTTGGCAATAAAAGATTGCTTAAATATAAAACAAAAGAAAACCAATCTAAATCAGCCTTTTCTTTGAATAAACTTATTTAATTTAGTCTTAATTTTCTTCTATGTCACACCCATTTCTGAGAATCTAATGGAAATATGACCATTCTCCTTAGAAAAATATAAACACTCATAAGAGCCTGCATCAGATGCTGGTGTTTGTGTGACTTTCTTGAAATTCATGTGAGGATCATGTCTCCCACTGAACCATACCAAGCAGCATGGGGCCTCCCCTGGTTAACAGCCTGGCAAATGGGGTCACTGCCAGGACTGTGTCTATGACATGCAGAGAGCCTTGTTGGCCACACACCACATTTCCTCTCTGGAAGAGTTGCATAAATATTTCTTCAATATGAAGACATTGTACAACTGCTGTGTCTATAACTGATTTCTTATCCCAAAGATGACTCAAAATCTTTGAGGAGAGTCTTTGAGGGAGCATACTGATGTATCTTAGTGAAAGGCTGTATTGGTTCGCTTTTTTGTTGATGGGATAAAACACCCCAATGAAAAGTGACTTGGGGAGGGAAGCATTTGTTTCATCCTACATTTGACAGTCTGATATTGATGGGAGCCAGGATAGGAGCTCAAGGAGGACTCTGGGGGCGGGGGATGAAGAAGCTACTGCTGAGGAATGCTGCTTCCTGGCTTGCTTTCCTCTGTGGCTCACTCACCTTGCATTCTCTCCCCCACTGTTTTGCATTTTTTGTTAAAATATCATCACATCGTTTCCCCATTCCCATTACTTAGTCCAGTTTCCCCCATGTCCCTCAAAGTCCTGGCTTCTTTTTCTTTGTCATTATTACATATTTATATGCATAAATATTTAAATATAGCCTGCTGAGCCCATTTACCCTTTTAGTCATTTGGACGTGTGCCTTTCAATCCTGTTGCAGTCACAAATTTGTGGGGTAAATTCCTGCATTCCTTTTCCTTGGCAACACAGAGACACATTAACTGGCACCTTCCTAGTACCCTGTTGTCAGCCCCTGAAGCTACCTTTCTAGTTTCTAGTATGTTAGCTCAATGGAATCATCAGTATTTTGCTGTTTTGGTTAAAGGTATATTCATTTTTATTTTATATGTTCAAGTGTTTGTCTACATGTACATCTGAGCATCATGTACATGTCTGGTGCACACAGAGGCCAGAAGAAGGCTTAGGTTACCTGGAATTTGGAGTTAAAGACAATTGTTTGCCTCAACGTGCATGCTGGGAACCAAACCCAGGTCCTTTGCAAGAATAGCAAGCGCTACTTACCTCTGAACCATCTCTCCAGCCTCAATACAGAACTCTCTCTCTTTTCCTTCCTTCCTTCCTTCCTTCCTTCCTTCCTTCCTTCCTTCCTTCCTTCCTTCCTTCCT